AAGTAGATGAGATTTACTGGAAAAATTGTCCGAATGTATTCCCACATGATAAAATGTTTGTACACCAACTCAACATATAGTTTATCAATAAACATGTTAAATTTTAACCTAACCTTGCTTAGAATTATATTAATTCTTAGTCATCAAAAAAATAATATCAATGCTATATATTTACATTATAAATATATGCGGCTATTTTTCTATATTTTTATTGAAGCTTGGCGGATGGATTGTAACACATCAATAATAATCAATACTAAATATTAATAAGTAAAGTTACTATTTCCTGCATGAAGATGTCTTACGACAAAATCATGGCTCCATCAAGCAAAGCCCGAAGAAATATCCCTCGGGCGCCATTGACATCTCTGTCTATTACTACGCCGCAATTCTTGCATTTATAAATTTCCGATCCTCCAATATTTTGAATATTTCCACACCAACTACAGGTCTTTGATGTGTAAGCCTCGTTTTGAATTATCACATGGATTCCTTTCTCTTCAGCTTTCGAAATCAACCTTTGCCGAAATGTGTAATGAGACCAACAAAGCATCTTTCTAACTGTTTTTCTTGTTATTTTTTGGTTTTTTTCTGGTCACTATGCCTAAAACCTCAAATGGAGGGATAATAATTATATCAAACTCATCAGTTAAGAATTTTCTATGAATTTCGTCACAAAGTCGTTTGATCTTTCGTTTCATACGAAAGATTGCTTTGTTAACACGTAACGCCTTTTTTTTCTTTCATTTCGAGGTTGAAGCTGCTAATCGGTCCTTGCTTGATAAAAGATTATCCATGTGTTTACATAAACAAAAGATACGGCCTATATCATACTCACCTATCTTGCCTGTACCTTTTGTTGGCGAATACCATGTGAATGGAGTACAAACACCAGGATTAATTGAAACTACATAAACATCTGCTTGGGTTTCACAGATTTGTTTTTGTGTTTCGTATACCCAATGAAATATCCATTCGTTCGTTTTATATAAGTACGTAAGTTTACAGTCACATTCTATTTTTTCAGAGGGCCATTTATTGTTTTTTCTTTTTTTTTCAAAGTGAAATGGGCGTAAGTCGCACTTCCTATCTTTTAAATTATTAGTGTTTGATAATACGGTTGTAGTATGAAGATAAGTAGGGAAAAAATGATTCCAATCTTTTCTTGAAAAGTTATTTGCACGAATGGTCATTGTCTGTCGTAACTCTTTCTTGGATTTAAATAATAATGATGATTTGTTGGTTTCTTTTGAATTTTTTTCTATTATATTTTTTCTGGCATTCAATACTTCATCAATACTCTCGTCAATCACATCTGCAAGTACTTTATTATGTAAACCTTTAAGTCATAAATCTAACTATATGACTTTTTGTAAAAACTTACATTCTCCCCATACACACAAGGTTTGTAATTTTTTATCCTCATCCTTAGAATCTTTCCCTTCTTTAACATCTACATATAATTTAAGTTTTTCCTTGAGTGGAAGAGGTTTTATCCATTTAATTTTTTTAATTTCTTCAAATTTGTAAAAAAAACGACAACTTTTGTTCCATCTAACAACTGTATTATACGCGAATCTCGTCAACCCAAGCCATCTCTTCAATATCTTTCTCTGAGAATGATTAGGATATGTTTTGATTGCTAACGTTTGATTTACAGAATTTTTGAATTTTCTTTTTTTTTTGCTTCGTGCTTTAATTGTTTTTTTTCTTTTCCCGTTATTTAACTCTTCTTCAAATTCGACAGGTGAAGGTTCTGATTGCAAAGTTATTTTGTGATTATTCATTTGCAGTGGCAGAACATGGTTTGTTGATGAGAACCACGAATTTAACAGAGTATAATGAGGATCTATATCCATAGTCGAATCTGCAGGGTCTTTCACGATGGGTAGCCATAATTTCTTAGACCATTCATTTACTTGTTTGTTCCAATATGGTCTTATATTCATTCTCAATGCATTATATGAAACAGAATTAAAGACAAGAACTCAATTTTATAAATGATTTAAAAAAAGCTTTGAAGGGAGGAGAAAAAATCAAAACTCAAAAATTTCTTGGTTTTTAGAAAACTTCGGATTCTAAAATACCTTTATTTATAAGGATTTTTTGAACTTTTTTTTTTTTATTAAGCGAGCTTCCAGACATTAGGTATATAGCATTTAACACAATTGTATGACAATTACAAATTCATCTAATAATTGTGTCAAACCCAATAGTTTGGGATCCCAAAGGTTTTTACTAGATCCGACAATTGTGACGTAGCTATGTTGTAAACAAAATTTATGTATCGCTGGCTAGAGCGTGAATCATAAGACAAATAAATTGTTATTGTCTATTGATGCAGGAGAATTATTTCCACAAATGTGAAAAAAATTCTCCTGCATCACTAGTCAATGACAATTTATTTGTCTTATGATTCGTGCTCTAGCCAGCGATAATTACAAAACAATTGTTGGATCTAGTAAAGACCTTTGGGAATCTACTAAATCCCAAACAATCGGGTTTGGTTTACATCAATATAACTGATGAATGTATAACTTATGTGTATGTCTGTATGTAATAAATAATGTTTGTTATTATATGATTGATTTGACTAACTACTAGAAAATCAGAATTTGGTAATAGTCTGAGGCAAATAATGAGATAACCAGGGCTTCACTATAGTAATATGCCGGCCATTTAAAAATTGTCGTTCTTGATCTAGAATTTAATTTACCAGATTAACAATTCAACGCATGCATATAATTGTTCACATAAGATATTCGATTAAATATACTGTACAGACTGTAGTCGAATAATAGATTAATTTACATTCGGTTAGCGTTAATAAATTATGATAGACTTTAATTTGATGGATCAAAAATAACACTTCAAACAATTGGCATTGGTGCAGTAAATGGCTAGCATATTACTATGGTGTCTGAAGCAGAGCTAAAACAACACATAGTATACGGCAGCCATTTACTGCGCTGCTGCCCATTGTTTGAAGTATCGTTTTTTATACATCAAATTTACACAAAGTGCCAGTGACGTAGCAGCCACAGTATATTATATATTGTAAAATTGACAATTGTTATCTAAAAAAAGTGATCTATGATATGCAGTTAGAAGGGAACCAATAAGTTGTGCTAATTGATTTTACGTCACTGGCACTTTTGGGGGCCGCCCTGGTACCGTCAACAAAACACCGACATAGTAAATATTCGATATGGTGAAGATTTAAATTACACTAAATATAGATCCAACTTTCTTTATAACGAACATCTCTATAATGAACTCTGGAAATAATGTAATAAAATTTTTTAAAATTTTATTAATTTGGTATAAAGAGTTATGGTTCTTAAGTAAAATAAATATATACAAAGAACTTTTCTTACGTCCAAAACCAGCGTTTGTTATGGAGAAAGTTGGCTTCATAGTTTCTTTCGATATAGGCTGTAATAAATATTTTTTTTCCTCAATTTGAGGATTTCACTATAACGAGAACGAGTTGTAATAATGTTTGTCGTGTTTTCTTTTTACTTGTATTATAAACATAGGGGCTAACTTTTTTTTTGTCAAATATGATAGCAATTTAACAAATAAAAAAGAAGAAAAATCGTACAATTTACCTTGCGTAGGTTGCGTCGGAATAAAATACAGTAATTGAGATCAGGAGGTCGAGGCTCATGTGACCAGTGTTGGCAAATTATTGGATTGAATGTCATAAAAAGTAATTACTGTACTGACCAGACCATACAGTACTGACCAAACCATCGTATCGTACTGAAAATATGTATACTCGAAAAATCATTCGGTTAATTTTTATCAGATGCCCCGAATTTATGACAACAGCTGTAACTCAGTCAATCCAGGTTACAGTTGTTTTCATAAATGCTGGAACAACTGAAAGACCGTTTTTGAGTTCGGTCAAAGTCGATTACTTATTGATTCCGACTCGGTAACTTCGGTAACTTATCGATTCGGTCATCAGCAATTTTTTCAGTCATTTCAGAATTTATGAAAAACAGCTGTAACTGAAATAATTCCGGTTGAGCCGATTATATTAGTTAGATCGGTTAAATTATGGTAACTTTGATACTCAATTCAAATAACACTAGGCTAATTTGATTAATTCGGTTCGATTAACTCAGTTAATTCACAAGAACCTGCTAACCTGGATCAACAGAAATAATCCCGATTGAATCTATTGTTTTCGGTTGACACCAAGTCGCGGCTAAAGATTTGATATCCAGTTCAAATCACTACAACTAAAGTTTCTCGAATGCATCAATAGCCTTGATATCCTACTGGGACTTTGCATTAGCAGTAGTAGATTCTCGGATAAATATTAATAAAAGAAGACTCATATAGTTACGGCCATTTCTTTCGTACCTTAAATCTCTTTAATGCACAAACCGCAATTAACATACAATCTGCTTTAGCATATACAAAGGGGTTATCATCAATAGTTACAACATCCGTAGTTATAGTAGGTAGTCAGTTTAGATTTGTAAGAAATTTGAGGTTAATATCGGTATTTGCAAATTCTCCAATTTTTTGTAATGCAATTATCTCATTCAGCGCATGAAATAAACATCAATTGTTAGAAATTAACAAAATACCTTATAATTATTGATTATTTATTGAATTTTTGTCTTAATGAACTTTCAAGTATCTAATATTTGAAACACAAAAAAAAAACCCCAATATTTTCTAGTCGCTATAATATGTCAATCTTAACATATTTTCCCAGCGTGCAACAATACAGTATAGTGGTATGGTGTTATTGCGTTAATACATTATAGGTTGTAGCTTTTACGACATTCAGATACTAAGTATTTTAATGTCAATGATATTTGTGCTTATAATTTCCTATGATATTTAAATGAGCATTTTATTTATTTATTTTATTTTTAATGAATTTTATGTGTGTAGATTAAATATAAGACTTAAAAATTCATAATGAATATATTAAATTTGATTAAGAATCTACATAAATATTTTACATTAACAAACATTTAATATTCATTTTTAGAACTTGCTATTCGAATGATATCTTTTTGTTTATTCTTCTTGTAAAGCCAATATCCTGTAAAGCCAGCTATTCCAAGAACAACTATTAAACTTATAGGGATCGCCACAATCACACCTGTACTTAATGAATTAGAATTTGAAGCAATGACTGTTTGAATTTGAGTAACTGAAGGATTAGGTGTATTTGTTGAATTAGGATGTTGCGATGTGTCTGTAACCCACACATAATTTCGAGTATCAAGAAGATATAGTTGTGAATTCAAATTATTCGGATCAAATGCATTATTTACACCTTTTTGACCTTTATAAATTAAAAGTAAATTAATGTTTTTTTTTTTCTAATAACTTAATAAACTAAATGAATACTATAATTACCAAATACTACAATCATAAAATTTCCTACTATATTAGCAGAATGAAATGCAAGTGAAGATGGTACATTATTACCAATCATTGATTTAGAGGACCATTTATACGGATTAACGTTTGTGTCTAATGACGCTAATAGTTGATTTTGATCTAAAGGAGCACTATTTTTAGATCCACCAAAGATTACAACATGCCCATCTGGCGATAATACAGCGGTGTGGCTACTTCTAGGACTAATATTATCACCCGCAGCAATCTAATGATTTATAAATATGAAAACGTGAATATTTAACAAGTAAAAAAAGTTTATCAAAATCATTACCATTGTAGACCATGTATCATTATTAGTATTATAAATTGGAATCTAACACGAGAATAAAAAAAAAAAATACTATAATTTAATATCTCGATTTAAATAGTAATCATCTTTAATTACTTAGTAATTTAATTTATACTTTAATTTATACTAAATTATAATTACCTCGGCCATGTTGATAGTATCACCACCTCCTAAATAAAGTATAAGGCCGTTATTTAAAAGTGTAGCTGTAAAGTCAGCACGCGGAGTTGGCGCATTAGCATTAGAGCCTTGTGTCCATATAAAAGTTGATGTATCAAATGTATAAATATCATTAAGGTCGGTATTGGAGTTGGTCGTAAATCCTCCAAACCTAAATAATAAAAATATACACTAAGTTTTTGCTAAAACAAACTATACAAAATTTTAAAATTTTAATTTTTACAAATATTGGCAAATTATAAGCAACATAAAATGCATTATTAGGACTAAATTAGCAATTTTAATAATTTATCATTTATTATTGCATAACTATAAATTAGTTAAATATTGGTAATTTTTTAGACCTTCATTATGACTAAAATATTAAAATATTGCTAAGATATTGCCAATATTGGTATTTTATTAGCATAGTAATTGGCAAATATTTTATAAAATAAATTATCATAAAATAGTGCTAAAATAGTACTTATATTTGCCAAAAATTTGCTTTTGTTATTACATTATCAGCACTGTTAAATAGCTTATTTTTAATAAGCTCAACTTTGATAGATTTTTGTAAAGAAGATAGAAAATAAATATAGGAAATAAACGTACATATATATCTTGCCGTTAGTGTCATTAACAGCTTGAAATTGTCGCCGACTTATAGGGATTGTTCCAATTATATTAGGAATACTCCATGTTCCACTTACAGTATCAAATGCATATACTATAGTATTATTACTAATACTATTATTCCCAAAAAGATGTTCTAAAAGAAATATCGTAGCTTTATTAGAACCTCCTACACATGCACTTGCAAGTGCAGAATTAGTCGGGACTAAAGAAACTGAAGAAGTTGATGAGGACCATAAAGGATTTGATGTATTTAATGTAGAAAGAGTCACATCTAGAAAAATATTCTCTCTCGATTGTGCAATAATTGCACTACCAAAAAAGTAAAGCCTATTTCCTACCAGGGCATTACTTTGCCTTAGACGTCCAAGAGGCGTGAAGCCATTCACACCAGCGAAAGTCCAGGCAAGAATAATAGTTAACCAAATGAAAAAGTAATTTTTAAAAGAATCCATAGAATTAAATTAAACCTACGATTAATTATGTTTAAATAAATGTCTCTGTTTCATCTATATGCAGGGATTATACACGTCGCAGGTTGTCTAATTTAGTTATCTCACCGAGATTTGCTTTTTATGACTAGTTTACTATCCTTCTATATACATCTCATGATTACCCTTACCCTATTTCGTTAACACTTTAGCCCAGGCATTTAATTGATAACCATTTTCCAACAAAATGGACAAATTTATTTTATGCCAGTAACTATATTTAAGGCAGTTTACTTGATTTCGATAAACGTTTGTTATATTTTTAGTTGACTATCTCGATAACCGGGTTTTTAGCTCCGAATATTCCAAGTTCTTGGTAAGACTGGAGATCCTAGTAAAAGTAGGATCGATTTCAAGTCAGTAGCATTGTACCACAACAGTATCATTAATAATATTACTAAAGATTTTTTGTGACAACTAATAATTATATACTGTTAGAATTTAATACGTGATAACGGAAAAACTAAATAATTGAAAGTTAAATTTTATATCTATTATACCGGCATTTTCTATTTAACGAATTATTTTAATCCCGTACCGATCCAAATATATCCGAACGCAAATCCAATAAATTATTAAAGCACGAAATGACGATATAACTATGGTATTATGGTGTCTTGAATACTAAGAGCAATATCGCGCTTTACTAATATTTGAACACTATGTTAACTTACCGTTATTTTGCGTATACGATCGGATTGGTCGAATTTTGCGCACCTTCGGTGCTTAAAATCAAAACACATTCTCAAATACTGTTATTATTAAATATTTATAAACAATCTTGATCTTTAAAAAAGCTAAATATAAGCAACAGAACATTTTTATAAGGATTACTAAATTCTTTAACGCAAGTGGTGGTACACACTAACCTTATTAATATTTTATTTTTGACGTGTTTAAATTTATACTTACAATAGTACGTATTGTTAATTAAAGGTTAATGGCAAATATTTTATCCCGGATAAACACAAAAGACGACCAACAAAAATTCTTCGCATTTATAGAACTCTAATTAAGCTAAACTACTTTGTGATATAGGAGCTTGCAAAATGTCCGCGGCAATAAATCATTTCCAAGTTTGTCTAGTTCGATTTATAGATGAACTACGAAATTAACCTTATTTCTTAAAATTATACACTGTATCAACAGATGAGTCCATATTTGGTTATTGCATAAAGCTTCCACCGTTAATTGTATAATTTTAAGTAGTACAAAGATTTTGATTTAGGTTAATTTTTCGAAGATCTAAAAGAAAAATAGTAATTAGTTTAATGTATAAAATCATAATTTTAAGATCGCATATTTATTTAGGTTTGTATCAGATTTCACGCATGCTTAATATAATGATGCGTAGCTACGTACGTGCGTACATCTGTATAGAGTAAAACGAACAAGACGAGGTTTTCTAGCATTTTTATTCGTAAAGAATCGATAATTAATGGTTAATTTGCCTTCTTTTAATGCATATGAATCCTCAATCATGCACACGCATGCATTAAACCAATCTCTAGGCTTTGTTTAATAAATTATTTGAGTTTTAAAACAGAGTAGATTTTTAAAAAGTAGAGTTTCATAATTAAAATTATATTTGAATAAATTAGATGACGAATTCGTTTTCAAATAAGTTGCATCAATTTTTATCTCGTTTTCCGATAAATTTGAATTAATGATGGGAAAGGTTGAATTAAGTCAACTATATGCGGCCCTTCCGTTTTACAGAGGCGTGACGAATAATTCTAGTGAAGAATAAGCATTAACTAATTTATTATATTAGCTAATGATTATTCGTCACGTAGAATGAGTCGTCAATCCCATGTGTCAAATGGAAGCTTTAAATACTCCCTACCCGGTATTAGTAAATTGTTATGTGGGGAGTGCTACAGATAAGAGGGAAATCGGCAAATTTTCAAAAATTTTTTTTTTTTACACAAATCAATTTAGAATAAAATTTTGTAGTATAGCTCTTTAAAGTTTGAATTTCCGTATGATTTATCACAAAAATTGACCTTCCGAGGATCTTTTGTTTTAGTCCCCTAACGCGACTTTACTAATTTGTGCCGGTTACACGAACCAAAAAAGGAAAAACATATGAATCGGAGTAAATTTGAAGTTTATTAAATTTTTGGGTTAGGGTTAGGACCTGGGTTAGGGTTAGTGTTGAGTGCTATAGGTAAAATTACCTCTCCGACATTTTTTGTTAATAAAAAAAGTAGATTTAGAACACCGTTTCTTGTATTTTCTTTATTTTTCTCTTTTTTTCATTTGTTTTGCTTCATTAGGTTGATCCGGTTTCGATGTTGTGCTGATCCGGAAACCCTGAAATTTTCTTTTTAGGGTTTGCATTACCGGCACAAATAAGTAAAGCCCTAGCGCTACCAATCTAAAAAATTTCACTAATCACGTACTGGCCAATCAAAATTTTTTCTTAATACTAACACTAGAATACCGTTAAGATATTTTTTTTAAAAAAAAAAGAAAAAAAAAGAAAATTTAAAATTAATATTTTTAAGAGCATTTATTTTTGGTGCACTCTGCACCATGTGTACTCTTTGCTATATCTCAAAATTTTACTAGGGTAATCTTGTTGTGTAACTAATAAAAATAATCATCTCACAATTTTACCTTAAGCCCGACTTTAACCCTAACCCTAACTATTACTAAATTCAAATTTTTCATAAGGGCATACATGGTGCACCTCTGCACCAAATATAATTTTCTTTTTGTAATATTTTTTATTTATTAAAATTAATAGTAGCTATTTTTTACAAAAAATAACTTTTAAAAAACTATCTTTTGCAGCCTAATTAAAATGCACCTTGAAAATTTTACTAATAGAAATTTTTTTCCTAACTTCGATTACTCAGTAAAAATTACAAAGAGAACAAGTTTTGTAGGTGAGCTACCTACTCTAACCCAACCCAAACTACAATATATCACCAAAAGAACAACAAAGAAACTGCTAAAAAAACATGAAAAAAGTATTAAAGGGAACAAATAATCAAAAGAACAACTAAGAAACTGCTAAAAGAATAATAGAAAACTCCAAAAGAATGACAAAAGAATACCAAAAAACTATCAAAGAATAACAAAAAACTCCAAAAGAATAACAAAATAACACCAAAAAACTATTGAAAAGTGATGAAAAATAACAGAAAATTCTAAAGAAACAATGAAAAAATATTAATAAAAACTACTAAAAAGCAATGAAAAATGACAAAAGAGACTAAAAACCACTGAAAAGTGATAAAAAATAATAAAAAACTTTAAAAGAATGATGAAAGAGCACAAAAAACTACTAAAAAGTGATAAAAAATAATAAAAGAGCACCAAAAAACTACTGAAAAGTTATGAAAAAAACAAAAAACTCTGAAAGAACAATGAAAGAGCACCAAAAACTTATCAAAAAGTAATGAAAGAAGTGCTAAAAAAAAATAACAAAAAAATTATTAAAAAATAAAATGCACTAAAAAAAGACTAAAAAATAAAAAATAAATCCTAATTTTAATAGTTAATCAGCCTATCACATGATCAGTGAAATTTTTAAATTGGTAATACTAGAGTCTTACTATATAGTTCCGAAAATAAGCTACCCCCTCTCTCTCAAAGAAAAAACTTAAAAACATCTTTCCCCCAAAAATAAGCTACCCTGTGAGTTTTATATTTTCTTAAATAGTTGCTATATATAAAAGTCAAAATTCTACTATGTAAATCTACAAAAGTCACTTAATAGCAATTGTTCAGGAGATAAAAATACACGTATCCTGAAAGTTTTATACAAATTGGAGAACTTTTTACTAAGTTTTTTTGCATTATATCTTAAAAACATAAAATACAAAAATATCTTAGTAAAAAGTTCTCTGATTTGTATAAAACTTTCAGAATATGTGTATTTTTACCTCCTGAACAATCGCTATTACGTGACTTTTGTAGATTTACATAGTAGCATTTTGACTTTTTTATATAGCAACTACTAGCACTTAATAAAAATTGCCAAAAATGATCCAAAATTAATTATATCCAAAAATAAGCTACCCAATGCTTTTGTGTAACTTTTGGCCAAAAAAGAGTAGCTTATTTTCGGAAACCTACGGTATCAATTTTCTGTTTCTGTAGCACATAGCCCATACATTTTAGATAATGATATAGCAACAATTTCTATCTGGGTCCAATTTCTATTTTAATCTCTAATTTATTTTCAAATATTTGAAAATTATATTTATTTTGTTGTATTTTACAACTAGCAAACCTATAGTTAAGATTAGAGCTATTAATTGGTCCATCCTGGTTAAGGACTGATGATTTTTTAAAAGATCAGATTAAATCACAGTCCAGAACTAAATAAAACCAAATAGAATTAGATTGATATTTCTAGAGCTTTTCCAAATACATTTTGAATTAAATATATGTTTCTAGATGTTTTATATATCAATTTAGAATTTATTTGATTTGTATTGTTATTTTCCATGATTATATAACTTGAAACATTATGATATAAAAGTCCTCAGTCTTACAATTTTAACCCAAACATAATATACATATAGAATAAAAACAAATTAAACTCCTAAGTTTTTCAAAAAATTATTATTTATAACTCAAATTTTAACTATGAAACTACCTAACAAAAAAATTTCTTACAAGATTTACTATGTTATGTGATATCTTTTCTAATATTATCTTAATATTCAACCTAAAGAGAACTAGACTGACCCAATCCTTGAATAGACTAAAGAACCACCAGATCAATTAACTCTAGTTAAGATAGCAATATTATTGTTATTATTTATGTTAATAAGTTTTAACTGTTTAACTTTGAATATAAAATATATTTTTTGTAAAAATATGTTATATATTTTTTGTATTTATATTTTAATAAACTAGTCATTTGATAAAAAGTGTTTATTTATCAGTGTCAAATTATAATGTTTATAGAGTTATAATAAAAAGATAGTAGATATTATTTTAAT